CCTATCCCCTGTGTGCCTTGCCTCCCACGACTAAGGCCAACCACACAATTTGAAAGNTGCAATTGTCCTTGGTGATGCTGTTTCGGACTTGCCAGCTTTCCTTCCTCACTAAGGAGAAGTTTGCATGAGCCTATGCATTGTGATCAAATATACGTTTGTTTTATTCTAAAGTGGAAAGGGAGCAAATTTTAAGGACCTCTTGTGCAGACATGGGGCGGTCAATAAATTTGAGTGCGACCCAAAAATAAAGAGGTTATTTTACAATACAAGAATCAGCAACTGGTTTTACAAACCAATAGAGCCTTATTGCTATGAGTTATGGAAAACTGTAAAAACAATTTGCGTCCTTATGGGGGGTGCTGGTGTCAATGTACCATGAAAGAGAGAAGGAGAATGGAGTTAAAAAATTTAGACTATTAAATTTAAAGTTATAAAAAACTTACAGTAAAATAGAGTGAATAATAAAATGTTAGAAAAAATTTACAGTAATATATACGTGAATGACAAAGCACAATATCAAAATTACTGCAAATTAAACTCAGAAAAATAAGATATAAAACACATTTAGTTGATATGTAGTACCAAATCTTCCACCAAAAATTCTGCTATCCTTCTGTAAACCTCGCGCTTGATATTATTTCGTGGTCCTCGAGGTTTCAGGAAAAAGGATGCAGCAAAGGGACGATAGGTAGAAAAACTATAACCTTAGATCATGGAGGATTGAGGGTTCCCCAAAATAGAATGACTCGTAATGACCCAACTGATGAAAAGAAACAAAAATAAAATTGAACTCTCCAAATACAAGAGCTTTATCCAAGCTACAGAACAAAAGCTTGCACTAGATTCTTAGAAACCCTAGATGATCATCAAACCAAGCTCCTTCAACTATGCAATGCTTAGGGTTTCTAAGGCTTCTGAGAACAAAATGAAATGGAAGAAAACTTCAACCTGTAACCTAGAGCGCTCCAGATTAGGGCTTCAAAGGGGAGAGGGAAAAGTGCAAGGTTAGACA